GAGAAAAACAGTATATCCCTTTACTTGCTAGAAATCTAAGATACATATATTCCCGTCCAAGATTCCTTCAAGACTCTCCCGCCGTTTCAGCTAGCAGCCTATTCATGTTGAGACTGTAGCATATTAGGCTAGTCAGTACATTGGGCTAGTCATTGTATTAGGCTAATTAGTGTAACATCTAATCTCTGGACGAAACATATACAAATGTATCAAGCAAGTTGATGCAGTTTATATGTCGAGACATGTTTAGCATAACAGCGACGTCCTCGTATACACAACTGTCTCGGGATACCTGACACATACTGAGTGTAGTAAGACGTGTAGGTGCGTCCAAAGGTTGTGCTTTGAATCGTATTTTATGAAAACTTTTCATCCGCCCAGTCAGGAAAATATAGACCTCATTTGCCTGAAACGATCCCTTCATTGAATTTCAGTGAAGAGTTTTCACTCACATGTGATTCAATAGCGTGTCTTGTCAGATGAGCCTAGAGATTTGATTGCCGTTATTTGGCTTGACCTATCGGATGTGGTGTCTAGCAAATCACATGCGGGTTGGATCTGCTTTGTTGGTGAGACTTATGGTAGCTACCACTAGGCTAGATGGCCGCTTGGCTGAAGTGGGCCTACGCCATTCACCTGACAGCCCGGTAGAGATTCTTTCTGCAATGGCATGATTTGATAATTTAAATCATTAGTGTGTGTGTGTGTTTTATTGTACTACTTGAGTCTATGACTATCTAGCACATTGGGCTCCTCTCTGACCCAGGCCACACCTTGTACAGTGCTCCTATCCTCTTTTGTTACTCGCAAGATCATTGATATATTCCCCTTGATGAATAGCCATTCAGCTCAGTATTTACCCGTGGAATTCAGCCACCTTTTCCACGGAACCTTCTACCCAAAAAAAATAAAATGGTAGCAATGGAAACTGCGTGCGCGGGAAAAAGTCTCAAAAAACCTGCAGCCCCAGCCAGGCGAGGCCTAGACACCGGGACCACATGAGGTGCGCATATTCATCTATATCTCCCTTCTTTATAACAGTCGAGGTCGACTTGATCCAATCCACCATCTCCGTATCGGGTGCTGGGTACGCTCCGGAAACTCATCGGATGGCTTTTCCTCCATGATCAAGGGTGGGTGACGAGTAGGGCTCCGACCCTACCATCTGATCTGATCGTGGTTAGCTTCATGATAGTGGTGATAGGGGAATGTGTTGAGAGGTGAAGACGATACAGACCGCGAAAGCGATTGGGAATCCTCTTCGAAGTGAGGACTTTGTTACTCAATCTCGGCTCTGCAGACTCTACAGTGAGAGCTGGAGGTTCGTAGGGGACACCACTGACAGGTGTTGAGAATAGTCCCCCTAATTTAAATCATATAATCGCCGTTTGACAGGTGATGACTATGTAGGACATGTAGATCCGGTCCGTCTATATGCCGGGATCTCTACACCAAAAGCATCTCCTCTCATATGCCTCCGAGATAGCTCCTCTCAAAAAATATCACCTTTCACAAGCCTTCATTTAATCATGCAGGTTGAGAAGCCCTCTGCCGTCAATTATCTCATCTTATCAGTTAATGATAGCTTGGCCAATAGAGGGTATATGATTGAAAAAATAAATCGCAAATCAGTCTTGGAAAGGTGACCTTCTTACACCGACATAAGAACCAATTTTAAATACACAGTGATTTTTCTGAAGCGTTCGAAGAGGCCGGGAGCTCTGCGCCGCAGACTTGCGGCTATCGAAGTAACCTCACCCTCTCCTTTTCTAGCTTCGCTTCAACTTTTTCCGAAAGGCTGTGCTGCACTGTTGTAAAATAATTTGTAGAGTTTATTTATGGCATTCAGGCTCAGCCCAATTTATTTTTTATCGTCTGGGGTAATGGAGAATGCTGTAGATTCATCCGCAATAGACGTATTCCCGGATAATCTGCCGAAACCTTTGCATTAGCACCCACAATCATTTGAGAGTCAAAAATACCTCGAAACTATTAGTCACAGTATGCCCGCATAACATGTCTTCCATATCTCATTCCATGCCCCAGTCGCCTGCACTCCCTAGAGTTGTATAGCCGCATCAGAGCATTAGTCCCTCATGAACCAAGACCAAAGCTTTATATATTGCGACTTAATGCTCTACATACGGGTTTAGGAAGCGTCGTAAATTTGTAGTAAGTGATGTCATGTAATTATCGAGGCAAGCTTCGGTTTGAAATTGGAGTAACGCCTTCAACGGTGGTTAAGGCGTGGTGCTATAGTTAGATTGAGGTAGAGGATTCGCGTGAGAATAACAAGACCGATACCAATGAGAAGTTAGGGATAGTGGATATGCTCATGTTTGTTTTTGACAGCGAATAGATGCGGCTCTCCACAGCTATACAATATATGTAGGGCATACTGAGCGACCACACGGGCACCTCCGAAAGGTGAAGAATGAGTTTCTGCCGGCTATTTATCTTAATAACCAAGTAGCTTTCCTTGGTCTACAGTTGTTTACAGCAATGTCATCTTGCCCTGCATATATAATTCTCTTTCGCAAGTCTGTGGGAAGCTGGGAAACAGGGCAACTGGCCGAAATTTAACTTCTAAGAAATGGCAGTTCATTGATGTCTTTGACACGCAGATATCCTTGCTAACTAAACCGCCTGCGCTGCCCAAGCTCTACAATTAGCACTTTTCTTTACATTTGGAAGGAAGAAAATCTAAGCACAGTCCGAGGTCTTCCTTGCACTTTTTTGGTCTGAATACTTGGCGTCATGGAACGAAGAGCTAAATATGGCCCAAATTTACACATTATCATTAGGCTTGCCCATCTGAGACGTCAGCCTCTTGAATATCTACTAGCTGCAAAGTCTGAGCAAGGGAATTTTGTAGATAAATACCGGCAGTCTTAGCACTGAAATGCCGTCGTAACCGGTTTAAGTGGAAAGGAGACATCCCGCAATCTTCTTCTCTATTGCCATCTACGTCAGTACCTGTCATGGATTTGTAAGACACATATCTAGATAGATAGATTTTAATTCGGGCCTGTCTATCCTAGCACTCATTGATCGCGAAACGAAGATGGCTCAGTTTGACATTTGGATTACTCATGTAGTGGGTTCATTCGCTGATACCACTCAAGACCTTGGTGCTAGGGCCTTTCATCCTTCACTCAACTATAACTACACACCAAAAACAGGAAACCCCTTGGACTACCCTAAAATGCCTTTTACATCTTGAATTAGCCACGGCGCGAGATATGGCCTCACAGTCCTCCCTTTCTCGAGTGAGGAAGGTGTCCAAGCTGCCTTGACTCTTACTCGGGAATATTAAGACTAGGAGGCGGGGCAAAACATCTTCCATCATTGCCTGTTTTTAAAGTGTCGGTTGCACTACCCGAAATCTTTGCGTCTACGCCCACAGACACCCTCAAGTCGAAAATACTCGAACAATGTGCGTTCCAGCATGCCCATTTGTGACCTATTCACTAGTTCGTCCCATGTCTCAGCTGCCTGTCCTCCCTCAAGATGTGAAGCCCCATTAGAGCAACGGTCCCCCATAGACCATGTTCCGAGCTTTGTATATTATGACTTAGTTTCCTCCTCTCAGGTATACATGGCGTCGTAGCTTTGTAGTTGGAGATAGCCAATTTCTGATAAGGCGAATTCCCGATTGCAATTGAAGTAATGCCATTATCAGTATTTGAGGCGAGGTGGTGTGGTAAGAATGAGGTGGAGGACTCGCGTAGGAATGGTAGGTCCAATAATTGGCGAGAGGTCGTCGATTTTAGATGTGCTTCGGGTTGCTTTTGACATCGATGCGGATGCGATTCTGCATACCTATTCCAGATATGCAGAGAAAATAGAGCGATTTCACCGGCTGAAAATTTCGTGTTATCGGAAGAAATTAGTATCATAGCTTGGTAGCCTAGGTTATGCAGGACGTGACTATATCACGAGCTATGCACGGGCATGAGCTTTGAATTCATATATTATATTTTAAATGTCCACATTGGATTAGTAAATGGCAAACCGTATGTACAAAATGACTTACGGCGTTGAAGTGTAATGACAGAGGCAAATTTTTCGTTAATCAACAAATCTTGCCGTGACTGTCACCTTTGACCCTCGCTAGATTGGGTAAAGAATGCAAAATTATATGTCTAACACCCAACGTAGGGGGAAACCTTGATTGTATTCGTCTTTAAGCATCAAATGGGACCCTCGGATTTTAGCAGCAATTTCTAAATACCTGGAAAGATTCTCATTGATATCAGCCTTTGGCTTTACTAATCTGGGCATTTATTGGTGCGACAGAGGGTAATGAGACCATTCAATCGCTCATAATGAAAATCAGTTTGCAGCATGCCGCCCTGTAGCTACTACCCGCCTCGCGCGTCTTATCGACCAAGGGCTATTAGAAACAATAAAAACGATAGACTATTCTGGTACGTCCGTGAGAAATGAACGAGCGTGTCATCGCCTACGATTATGCCGGAGATCTCGGTTAAAGCCAACACAGCCCCTTGTTTCCTATTGAGAGCCGAAAAGAGGTTTGAATAGAACTCGGTTAGCAGTCTGCATCTTTAGACTCAATAGGAAATTTATGAGCCTCAATAACTACCCTCATCCTCGATCTATCATATCTCATTTATTGTTGAAAGTAGATGCAGGATGCACTCCAAACATAGACATAACTTGCAAGGTCATCTACATGGCTCCTCCACCCTTCTTTGTTTCCCCCGTTCAATAGATAAAGTGCAAGATGCTTGCGATCAAACATTATACGTGCAGTCATCCTCGAATACATTTATTCATTTAGTAACATCTGTCTGTAATTTACGAGCCAATTTTACATTTTTTCCTTGAGGCCCATTGCACCTAAAGAGATTGTTAGGGCCCTACATTCTCGTATTAATTTATTATGCTTGACGACACAAATTGGAATATCAAGATTTAAATTATCAAAATAGCTGGTATACTTCTATAACCGATATAGCCTTAAAAAGTATCTCAAAATGTATCAGAGCAGCGATTTAAGCCCAGAATTAAATCGGATCAATGGTGTGGCTATCACTATTTTGTCGATCGTCACAACAATCCTCGCCATAATCCCATTAACAACGTTCATCAAGATTCGACAAGTTGGCCCATGTTCCCTGTTACTAATATCGATGCTCTTCAGTACCTTTGCGGCTGTTAATTCGAGGATCTGGAGTAGCGAGAACCAAAGCGAATGGTATAGCGGCGCTGGAATATGTCACATTGAGACCCCTTTGAGACAGCCCTTAACAATTGCTTTTGCTTTCGCTATGGTTTTAATGCCATGGAAGCTAGTTGAGACCTTGAGGACAAGACGGGTAGTGCAGTTCAATCGTGTCTGGCGGGATATAGTGTTTGTCTGGGGAGTTCCGGTCTTCATCATAATGCCTTTTCAATACCTCGTCATGACAAATGTTTACTCAATTATTCCAGGATTTGGATGTATGCCCGAGTTTGACGAGTCATGGCTGAGTTTGCTTGTCGTATTTATGTGGTGGCCAGTGCTACTCTTCCTTACCTTAGTCCTTGCCAGTAAGTTACCGCTACCTACCCTTTACAGTTATTAAAATTAAATTCAAATCAAACTAAAAGCTAATAGTCATAATGGGGATCATGATTCATCGAAAACGAGAAGAAATTTCAGAATCTCTTAATGACAATAGCTCGCGGTCGTCCGAGAGAACTTTTATTAAACTTTACATTGTAGCAGCAGTTCTCATTGCCATCTACTTTCCAACGCAGCTCATTTTCGTCATTCGATACGTGCCGTTACGGTACGGAAGTTTTCAATTCGCCCTAGAGAAGAATAAAGAATGGGTTGTTCCAACGCTTTACCATACCAGCGATGACCCACAGATTCAGTTTGAGCCATGGGCCTATATAGCCATAAATTTTTTAATGTTTTTGTTTTACGGAGCTAATACAGATGCTCAAAAATCATACTGGAAATTTGTCGAAAATACCGGTTTGGTAAAACTCTTTCCAATATTTTTTAGCCAGCAACCGCACAGTAGCGCCAAAAGTTTACTTTCTTATGGAGACTTTGTTGGATATGTAACAAGGAAATTCGAGAAACGTAAAGATAGTACGAGCAAGCCTCATGAGTAAGTTCCTATAGCTCTTCATACAGGGGATTATCAGATAACTAATCCATCTAGAACGTATGAATAATGGAATCCAAGTGCCGGTAGTGTGCCCAAGACATTCAAGCCTTTTGAGGCAAATCAAGACTTAAGATATTAGATTACAGCGCTGCGCTGCAAGTGCCTAAATTTCAGTTTCGGGTATTTCTGTGATATCTACTGCTTTGAACCGTCCCCTCAAGCAGACATATTCAAAGTCTTGGGCTAGGCCATAGTTATGGCAAAGATTCCCTGCTACTTTTATGAATTCGGGAGCCTTGGCGCTGATTCGTGAGCTATGAGGTTATCAGCGCAAGCAGCCATCGAGTAATCAGACCAGAGAACTGCTTTTATCTTGGAGTCTCGAGTTGGTTCCTGATTACCCCAAGTGCAGTCAATAGCAAGCATATTCAACTGCTAAGATGCAACAGTTAATTACTACATGAAAGTAGCTGCAAAAGATTGAACGACAGAGAAATCGCCGAGCTTTGCTAATGTATGAGATTACGTGAAGAAGTAGTTAACGTGACTTGCACGTTAACTCATTATTCTCTGGGGGCTGTAAGGTGATTAGGTCGAATCAAAAGTCTATTCTATTAGATGAATTTTTTTTTGCCAAAGCAAATCAAGGGGTATAGTAGAGCTTTGTACTCGTATTTTCAATCATATAATGATTATATAGTCATCTGGCTATGACACGCATCAAATGTCTTGTGTACATATTTTCTGACTCTTGACTCTTTAAATTTCCAAATTATTTTGTAATCCAAGCGAGCCTTTGTCAGATATGCACAGGTGCTGCGCAAGAAATTTGAAAGATTTCAGTTTTATTCGAGCCGGCGATATCCTGCCTAAAGAGTCTTGATTCCCAGTCTATCCAGACTCTATTTGAAAAACCAGACTTTATGATGTACCACTACACTGTTCCAGCCATAGTTGATTTTATAGTGTCAAATGCACTCTCATAAACGAAGTCGAGGCGCTTAAAATGCTCTTTGATCTGAAGCCTCCTCCCCAGATATTAGACTTAACCCCCTTTTACGAGTGTATCCATCCATGGCAAAATCTTGTCTATTTGTCCTGAAGTCTCTCAAATCTATCACGGAAATCTGCCTCGCTAGATTTGTGCGCTACAATTTGTGTCATCATGTGAGAATTCGTGTTACAGTGAGCGTATATTTGGAGGCCACATGAAGGCAAAGGATGAATCGATAAGGAGTGTGTTCGTAGAAATTAAGATATATTAGTTCGAAATTAAACACAGGAAGACCTGACAAGGCTTTGGTTAGAAACAATCTTGTTGGGTACGAAAATTTTGAGTGGCGGGGATCTTGAATTATTGCGTCGTTGGCCATATTCTTCTGTATTGCAATGCGTTACTAAGGTTGTCTCTAGGAGAATATGTAACTATTGAGTCCCAAGAGGATAATATGATAATTGTTCAGTTTTTCACCGCCAACCTAGTCTTTGGATATTGAAGAGAGGTTATGATTTAACAAGCTGTTTTGAAATAATGATTTTCTCTAATTGGTGTAGTGGTATAACATCTAATATGCTGCCTGAGGTAAATTATACATGTCTTAGACATCTGTCTTTTTCTTTTTTCAGGGTTGTTGATTCGAGTCTAGACGAATCTTTGGCTGGATCATACTTTGCATACTAAGTTACTGTACCCTAAATGTCGGAATGTAGATGGATTTCAACGTTTTTTAACTGGACATTTTCTTTTAGATTGTTATGAAATTTTGAGAGAAAGTGTGTAAGTCCACAAAACGAGAAACCATGAAATAGTACCCACGAATACGCTTTAAGGCTTTAGCGCTCTATGTCAGCTTGAGTGATCCTTACGCTTCATCGAGTGGAGCACCTTTCTTGCTACAGTCAGACCCCTGTTAATACGATCATGGTTAAGCCGATATTGCCGTTTAGACGACATATTTTCCGGAACGGACTTCGTTCTTTTACATTTACCGATTACTCGATTATCGTTTTTCAACCTCCGAATATCATATTGAACAGAGTTTTTTTGTTAGATTGGTGCTAATAATGCCGCCAAAAAAGGGAATTTCTGTAGAGCAACGACGTGCTCGGTGACGATGGGCGCACCGCCAGGTCCCAAAACCAACATAAAAACAGTGCATTGAGTGGTTCTTCGCTGAGTACGGCTATCGATTAAGCCAGTCCATAATCTCCGTGTCCTTAAGCAAGACCTTTGCGAAACTCGACTAAGCTACAAGTACAACTGCGCTACGACAGCGAGCTGGAAACTGGCCTGACCTTGAGAGTATCTTCCTGGAGTGGCAAATACGAGTTAAACAAGGAGGAGGGGTCACAACTGGCGATTTGCTCTGTGAGAAGGCAAAGTAGATCTGGACACAATTACCACAGCACGCTAGCCAATCGTGCCCTGAATTCAGCGCTCGCTGGCTTGAGAATTTCAAGAATCGAAACCATGTTCAGAATCGGGTACGACACGGTGAAGTTGCTTCAATTCCAATGGATATAGAAGCCGAAATGAAAGCTTTACAGGCAAATGCAGGAGAGTTTGAGGAAGAAAACATATATAATATGGACGAGTCAGGTCTCTTGGAAAATGCTACCTTCACGTGGGCTATTGTCACAATCTCGACCAGGGCTCAAGAAAAACAAGGATCGAGTTTCTCTCTGTTTTTGTACGAATGCTACAGGTTCTGACCGACTTCCCATTTGGATTATTGGCAAATATAAGACGCCTCGGGCCTTGAAAAACGTTAGTATTCAGGAAATTGGTAGCAAGTGAAGGTGGAATTCCAAAGCATGGATGAACATAGTAATTATTGGTGAATGGCTTCAAGAATTCTATTGCCACATCGGAAATACTCGAGATGTACTATTGACAAGTAATAATTTTTCTGCTTATTACTCTGCCGTTGAATTATACTCTCCTCCGTCAAAAATCAAGATCTGTTGGCTTCCAGCTAACAGTTCAAGCCGGTACCAACCTCATGATCAAAGTATTCTACAGACGGTACTGGCTCAGCTTTGTTCTTCCAGTAATTGAAGAGGGTACAGGTCCACAATCCACTGTCAATATTCGATTAGCAATTCGCTGGATCTTACGAAGTTGGAATAACGAAGTTACCAATACAACGATTCATAATTGCTTTCGGAAATCGACTCTTATTTCCAAGCCAATTGCTATTCCTACGTCTGTACCTCCGACTGGACTTTCTGAATTGTTTAATAAGGTAGTCAGAGCAGGAGAAATACGAGATTCAATGGCAATAGATAATTTTTTTAGTCCAATTTAGGAGGAAGATGAAGGGAATTTGACGCTTGACGAGGTAATGATCTTACAAGAGGTGATAGGGGAATATTTGGGAGCAAATCGAGACGAAGAAGAGGTAGTAAAAGACGAACAGCCTTTGCGGACAGCAAAAGAGTCCGAAATGGCTCTGAAAGTGTCGATTGAGTATACTGAGAGTCAAGATTCTCTTAACACGAGCTATTTGAGAGTATTAGAGCGATTAGAGACGGCAATTAGGAGTATAAAAGAGGCATCAAAGGTAAAAATTAGCCTAGATAGCTGGATTGGATAATCATATCCTTTTAAGCGATATTATCTATATGACGATATTTTTCACGGTCCCGATTACATTGTCTTAACAGGGGTTTGGCTGTACTAGTATTCGGGTAACTGTAAAGATCGGCCATTAATAAAGCATCGTACAATAGATATATATATATATATATATATATATATATATGTAACTCATTTTACCTGATTTGGCGCCTTGAGGCCCATGCAGGTCTTTATCGGAAGATATGTACTTTAAGTAGGAAGACTCAATTTGAACTTTATTACACTCACAATCAGATTTCATTTGCAGATACCACTCGAGGTTAACCCTTACGGCGTATAACCTCTTCAGTGCATACCCACCACAGGGAAAAGCGTGAAAACCTGTGGCTGTCCGAGTGTGCTTTCATCATCCCACAAGTACTACATCACCGCGAGATAGAGTGGTGTGTGGGTCTGGCTGGATTCAAACCAGCTTTCTCCTGTCTCGGATGGGGTAGGTGTTCAAGCTACCCAGTATCTACTTGGGAGAACGGCCCGGATGGCGTACCACTGCACCATCCAACCCCAATAGATATCTAATCTCTAACTAAATCACACACAGCAAAATCAGAGAAGTTAGAAGGATACGAACGGTATACTGCATATATCTACTGATTAAACTTTATCACGCAGCAAGTTTGAGTACCTACTTATAGTTTTTTAGTCGAAAATATTTTCTCAGGTTTCCATTGAGAAGAATTGTGTTCATTTCTTTCGAGGAGAGCCTGAATAGCAGAAATTTTTCGAGAGGTTGAAAAGATAGAGGATAAATATATCTAGTCACTAAGAACGATTGTCTAAGGCTTTTTTGAGCATGGCAACTATGTCACGAGCTTTTTACCAGCCACTATTCTCTATTCATCAATAGGGAGGACGAAGGCTGAACACCTGTCAGTGGTGTCCTCTACGAACCTGGGAGTGAAATATTCCTCCAGAGCCGAGATTCAGTCACGAAAAAGGGTGAATATGAGAGTTTTCGTCAAGTTGGCTATCGGGGGAAGTGGTGTTGGCTTATTTCTGGTCGAAAATCCGACTTGCAGAGATTTCACGACTGCACAACTGTTATGAATTCGCTGCAGATGTGTTAACTAAGAGAGATCTAGAGATCTTCCTGTTGAAAATGAGGAACTGCAACCTGCAACAATGCCTGGGCCTGATAAATTTGAAATTTCGGCGCTAGAAGCGCACTTTGAAGCAGAAATAAAAGAAAATTTGAAACTAGATTCGTTTGGGCAGAGCATATCCAAGGTCCTTGATCAAGGACTAACTCGGCATCTAGGTGTGGATTTGGCTCAATGCTGCAAAAATGATGATGGTCTTTTAGAAGTCAATGGATTAATTTACATACCACAAAACCTTGAATTTCAGCAGCGCATTATCATCTC